CTATCAGGTTTATACAACGTCGACCCCCAATGTAGCAGACCAAGGAAGCAAGGACACGAGGCAGGTAAAAAGGTAAGTGATATTTATTTACAGGTGGAGATAAAAACTCGAACAGTTGTTATTGTTGCAGGAGATGGTTGAGGAGGAGCAAAGAGTGGGATCCTGGGTGTGAGGAGAATCCAGGAGAGAGTAGGAGGTTGACCCAGACAGAGTGGTGGACGTCGTTGCTGGAGACAGGACATCAAAATCCACAGGAAGGGGTTCCAGTGGTGGGAGAAGTCCTAAGGAGGACCAGAATGAATCAGGCCGTGGAAGGTCCAATTGTCAGAAGATGTCCCAGCACTGGAGAGGAGGCTGGCAGCTGCTTAAATGGGTGAGTAGCAGTACTCCTCAGATTGGTGGCAGGTGTGATGAGTTGGGTGATTAGCTGTGGAGGGAAAAGTGACAAACAGACACAAACAGACAGAGGGAAAACAGGAATCCCACAGTGCCCCCCCCTCAAGGATCGCCTCTCGGCGATCTAAGCCGCTTCTCAGGGTGAGCCCTGAAAAAGGAGGTGATAAGGCCTGCGTCCAGGATGCGAGACCTAGGGACCCAGGAGCGATCTTCAGGACCATACCCCTCCCAATCTACCAGGTATTGGACGCCCCGACCCCTGCGTCTCACATCCAGGAGACGTCTGACGGTGAACGCAGGCGCGTTATCAATCATCCGGGGGGGAGGAGGGGCTCTAGAGGGAGGTTGAAGAGGACTGGACACAATGGGTTTGACTTGGGACACGTGGAAGGTCGGGTGTATCCTCATGGATGGAGGGAGTTGAAGCCGCACCGCCGACCTGTTCAGCACTCTCACAATAGGGAAGGGACCAATAAACCTAGGAGAGAGCTTCTTGGGGAAGTCCTTCAATGAGATGTCCCGAGTCGAAAGCCAAACCTTCTGACCAACCTCATATCTGGGAGCCTCGGAGCGGTGTCTGTCCGCGAAGCGTTTGTTCTGCTCGGAGGACCTGGCCAGAGCCGCCCTAGTCTGTCGCCAGACCCGACGACAGCGCTTGAGGTGAAGGTGTATCGAGGGAACGCCCACATCGGCCTCCTGAGAAGGGAAGAGAGGAGGGGAAAATCCCAAAGCCACCTCAAATGGAGATCGTCCAGTGGCCGCCGAGGTCTGTGAGTTGTGGGCGTACTCAATCCACGGGAGATGCTGGCTCCAGGATGATGGGTTGGAACCGATCACGCACCTCAAGACAGCCTCCAGATCCTGGTTGCATCTCTCCGTCTGGCCATTGGATTGGGGGTGGTATCCCGAGGTGAGACTGACCGTGGCCCCCAAAGCCTCACAGAACCCCTTCCAGACTTGGGAGATGAATTGAGGGCCCCGATCAGACACAATGTCCGATGGAATGCCATGGAGGCGGAAGACATGCTCCGTGATAATCTGTGAGGTCTCGAGAGCAGAGGGGAGTTTGGGGAGAGGGATGAAATGAGCAGATTTGGAAAACCGATCAACAATGGTGCAGACGACAGTGTTACCATTGGAGACGGGGAGGCCAGTGACGAAATCCAAGGCGACGTGGGACCAAGGACGAGTGGGGATGGAGAGAGGAAGAAGAAGGCCAGCAGGGGGTTGGTTGTTGTTCTTGTTTTGGGCGCAGGTAGGACAGGAAGAGACGAACTCCTTAACGTCCTTCAGCATGTTTGGCCACCAGAAGGAAGCTCTTGTCAGGTGGAGCATGCGTCGTATACCGGGGTGACAAGAGAAACGGGCAGTGTGGAGCCACTCCAGAACCTTGCCCACCATGGAGGAGGGAACGAACAGCCGTCCAGGGGGACCCGAACCAGGATCAGGTTCGGTAGTTTGGGCCTCCAGGATGTCCTTCTCGATGGGCCAAGTTACCGCTCCCACCTTGCAATAGGACGGGAGGATGTCTTCGGGAGTTCCGGAATCCTCGGTTGACGAGAATTGTCGAGAGAGGGCGTCTGGCTTGATGTTCCGAGATCCCGGGATATAGGTAATGGAGAACTGGAAGCGGGAAAAGAACAGGGACCACCTGGCCTGTCGGGCATTGAGCCTCTTCGCCCCTTGAAGGTAGGCCAGGTTTTTGTGATCCGTCCAAATGATGAAGGGGAGTTCTGATCCCTCCAACCAGTGCCTCCATTCCTCCAAGGCTAACTTGATGGCCAACAACTCACGATCACCCACGTCGTAGTTGGCTTCGGCGGACGAGAGGCGACGGGAGAAGAAGGCACACGGGTGAAGTTTCCCATCGTCGGATGACCTCTGCGAGAGGACGGCCCCAACCCCAGAGTCAGATGCGTCGACCTCCACGATGAATTGTCTTGAGGTATCTGGATGGGATAAGATCGGAGCAGTGGAGAAGAGATGTTTGAGATTGGAGAAAGCAAGTTCAGCCTTATCAGTCCAAGAAAATTTTAAGCGGGTTGAAGTTAGTTGTGTTAGAGGAGTGGCAATCTTGCTGTAGTTCTTAATGAAGCGTCTGTAAAAGTTGGCAAACCCCAAGAATCTCTGTAACTGTTTCCGATTAGTAGGTGTCGGCCAGTCCACCACTGCTTGTGTCTTATCTGGGTC